TGCTATAAAAATATTCACTCTTAAAGAATTACATTAAAATCTCCTTTTCCTCAAGTATACTGGTGACATTCGCAAATATATCCTTAGCATAGGTAATAAGAAACACCTCTGGTAAAAATTCAGCTATTCATAACTTTCTAAATTATCCTGTTAACAAATGATAATGATAATGAAGAGGATGATAATAAGAATAAAAACGACAATAATAATAATAATAATGATAATAATATAAATAGTAATAATGATAATGGTAGTGGTAGTAATAGCAATGGCAATAATAGCCAAAGCAATAAAATTATAATAATGCTATTACTACTACTACGAAGATGGTAGTAATGGTAATGTTAATGATGATGATGATGATGATTATGATTATGATTATGATAAGAGTAATGACGATGATAGTAATAATAATAATCATGATAATGATTATCATAACGATAAAGAAAATAATAATGAACACAACAGCAACAACAATGATAGTAACAATAATAATGAAGATAACAACAACAACAACAGTAATAATAATGATAATATTATTAATAATAACAATAATATTAATAACAGCTACAACAGTAAAGATAATTATTATTACAATAATAATAATATCAATAATGATAAAAATATCAATAGAAAATAATTATGATAATAATATGAACAATAGCAGTAATGATAATAATGGTGATACTAGTATAACTACTACTATTATTACTACTGATGATAATAATAAAAATTATAATAAAAGGACAATGACGAAAATTATGATTATAAAGATAATGCTATTAGTAATGATATTAATAATAATAATTGCAATGATAATGACGATGAAGATGATTCTGCTGATAATAATAATGATACTATGATGATGATAATGATTATAATCATAGGATTAATAATGTTAGTAGTGATGACAATAGTGATTAGGTAATAGTAGGAGCAATCCCGCAACTACCGCTCATAACAACAGAAATAACTATGCTGGTGATGACGGTGATGCTGATTATGTTGATGATGATAATATAGGCAAAAGCCAGAGCAGCGAAGAGAAAAGTGGTATTGATATATGCACCTATATTTCTTCCAGTCGTTCTTCGGCCGGACGTACAACAACCTGTCGCAGGTGCACGAGTGCAAGAACGGCGGCCAGTGCGTCATCAACAAGCAGAACAGAACGTCGTGCAAGGCCTGCAGACTCCGCAAGTGCATCATGGTCGGCATGTCCAAGAGTGGGTCAAGGTAAGAAAGAAAGGGGTGAGAGACGGTAGACAGAGCGACGAACAGAGAATGCAAAGATGCATGCGGATAAGGGAATGGTACTGATATGTATAGATAATTAGGTAGGTAAGTAAGAAGTTATTTGACGAAAGTGAAAAAAGTCCCAGTCAAGTATTTCTTTCCTTTTCCAGGTACGGCAGACGCTCCAACTGGTTCAAGATCCACTGCCTCCTCCAAGAGCAGGCGGCCTTCAACGGGCAGACCCCCGCTCTTCGCAGTCCCATCACCCCCACGCTGCAGGACGGGTCGCTGCCCTTCGTGTCGGCTCATCTCCGGGACTCCATGGGGCGGGACGGCCCCGTGCGAGCCGCGCCCCAACTACAGGGGCCTCCGGAGCTGCACGGCCAAGATCTCCAAACCTCTCTGTCTGGTTTGTCAACCAGGTCACAGCTGAATGCGGTGAGTTGAACATATTACAAATCACTTGTCATGAAGTACGATAGGTTTAAGCAGCTTTTGCATGAAGGTTACAAAGTTCATGGAAGTTCATGGTAATGCCATATCCTTGACTGGCAGAACTGCTCTTTAAGATAAAGGAACCAAATGAAAAATAATGTTAAATTGGCTCGGTTGCATACTAAAATATGCATTGTCAAAAGTAATATGAACTGTAAAGACAATGATAATCATTACAATAATTCAAATCATAATTAAGCTAGCAATAAGAATAGTACCGGTATTGATGGAATTGATGATGATGTGATTGTCATAATAAGGGTAATGAAACAAATGGTTTTATGATCATAACAATGCTGATAAGAGAAACGGCATTCATAATAAAATGATGACTGGTTATGGAAATAATAATGAAAACAGTAATAACATTGATTAATTTGCTCCATTGTTCAAGGTATCTTTACATAGGTATGAACACTCCATCTTGATGAAAATCGTAACTGGCAACTTCTGAGCTCATCACCGCCTCATCATTCATTACATATTTTGAATATTTTTTTCTTTTTCCTTGGTTTCTTTTTCTATATTTTTCTTTTGCCATTGTTACTACTGTACATTTTCAAAAGAAAATGCACTAAAAAATTACCATAAGATATTCCACAAATTGTTGGGGTCAAAATAGGGGGCGGAGCTAATGACGTCATCATGTTTAACCAATGAGAGTGCGCTTGAGATATTAAATATAGCTAGATACATAATTATTTGGATAATTTACTCGTTACTGTTTTCATAATCAGAAGCCAAAATTCCTCTCTGATTTACGTTGACGAAGAGTTCCTTACCATCAACAGCAATCAGAATACCATAGGCAAGAATTCAGTTTATTTCTGGGTTCAACAGGCGAAGCAGAAGTGGAACTACATAGTCATACGCTCATACGCTCATAATCATAGTGATGATCATGATAAAAACAGAAAAGAATATATAATGGTAATGATGTACGTACTGACCATAATGATGATGACAATACGTGATGATAATATTCCGGTTAAAATGATAATGGATAAGAGTAAATATGATAAAGATAATGACTGTAATATTAGATAGTATTAGCAACTGATGATGGTTTTGATAATAATCGTCATGCTAAGGGAGATAATAATCACAGTGGTGGTCGTGTTAAACATGGTAATGATCATATCCTAGTCATGTTAAATTTTAGTTAAAACATGGTAATGCTCATATCAACAATAATAATGAAGACGGTAATGACAGTGACGATGAAAAGAACGATTAAGTAACGATAAAAGATATAGCAATACTAGTGAGAATGATGATGATGATGTGAAGAAGATGAAGATGATAATAAAGAGGATGATGATGTTAATGGTGATGGTGATGATAATAATAATAGAAATTATATTATGGATAATGATGGTTACGATGGCGATTACGATGTAAAAAGAATGAAAGTAATAATTATGATAATGGTGATAGGTAATGATAGTAACAATACAAATTAATAACTTTAATAATATTATTAATATTACAGTTTATATGTATGTGTGTGTGTGTGTGCATATATGTATATGTATAAACACACACACACACACACACACACACACACACACACACACACACACACACACACACACACACACACACACACATATATATATATATATATATATATATATATATATATATATGTATATATATATGAATATGAATATATATATGTATATATATGTATGTATATATATATATATATAATATATATATATATATATATATATATAATATATATATATATATATATATATCTCATACAAACACACACACACACACACAAAACGCACACATAGACACATATAAACAGATTTTTTTTTTTTTTTTTAGCAAAACGTTTTTTATTCTGAATACTTTTTTTCAACATCCTATTTCAGCAAGTGGAGCGACGCCTGCAAGAGGAAGCCCTGAGCGCCCTCTCGCGCGGCCAGGGGCACCACCCTGCCAGCCCCGACTTCGAGTCCCATTACAGAGAGCAGGTCCTGGAAGCCCTCAGGCGCTCGCAGAACCTCGGCAGCCTCCGAAGGACGCCCGACTTCGACGCCCTTAGGAGGTCCATGGAGATCGACCCCCTGCGGCGCACCCACGACTTGGATGCCCTTGACGCCCTCAGGCAAGTCGCCCCCGAGGTCGAGGCAAGACTCGGGCCGCTTGCCGTCCTCGAATGGGAGAGGAGAATACGAGAGGTTTCGAGGAGGAGTGACACGGAGGTCACCCTCGAGAGAAAGGATCAGCTGTCCAGCGAGATCAAGGGCGAACAGCTCCGGTCGCCAGCTGAGTGCTGCATGGAATCTGCGAGCGGAGGCTCCAAGGGCGGTCACCAAAGCGAGCACGAGGTGGTTTCATCGGTCAAGGAGGAAATCCTCAAGCCGGAATACGAACAGACCGAACTGGCCCTGTCGGTCCACAACGACGTGGAGAAGAGTCGGCGGGAGACGCCGCCGAAATTCGCGTCTGAGAAAAAGGGCGTCGGGATCCTCATGTCGGAGGAGGAGCGTCTGTCCTTCCTCAAAGCAGTCAACAGTCAGACCTCTGTGTACACGCGCGACCAAGCCCCGGTGACGTCATCGGCGAGAATGCCGACCAATGCAGACCTCCTGTACAATTCTCTCAATAACAACATTTTCCCGTTCCCTCCCTACCCTCCGCTGTGGCCGTCCATGCTCCCCTTCCCTCCGCTGGCCAAGTTCTACCCCTCCTTCGGCGGAGCCCTTCCCCCGAGCGCCATCGACGGCTTCAAGAGCACGATATACAGCCCGCTCGACGCCACGAGCTCCAGGTCGCCGCTGCGACTCCCCAAGGACGACGCCATGACCAAGAAGCGATTCCTGGACGCCGTGCTGCAGGTCCAGAGGCAAGACAGCAACCCCCACGACGGGGGCGCAGCCGGAAGAGGGCTATCCCAGGCCCAACCAAGCGTGTCCCCGGCAGCCTCGCCTCCCGCCCCGCCCGTGACCTCCGCCGCCGCCTCACACGACCAGCCGATGGACCTCACCGTTAGAAGGAAGAGGAAGATGGACAAGAGTGAGATCATTTATAATCCCAGTGATGATATCGCCGACGTTGTGGAGAGTGAGGATGAAAAGGCAGATGAGAAATGGCTGAAGAGGACTGACGAAGAGGAAGAACCGGTTGAAGAGGAGGAAGAGGCCAAGGCAAGTGATATGATTGAAAGTGAAACACAGATGAAACCCACGAAAGCAGAAGTTCCTCTTAAACTGATAAAACTTGATTCCCCCGGGGAAACACTTGTGGCGTAA